TTTAAATCCATAATAGTACCATGTGTAGGTATTTGCTATCATCTTTTGGAAATATTATTAATTAATTCTATAGCAACTCAAGATTTTCAGAGGATTAACACAACATATTATAGTCATGACATCTGTGAAATATATATACTCAGTAATGATTAAGTAGAAATTGTTAGCCTGGAAGTGTTTGCTTGTAGTTATAAAGTACAATATATTATGGGGCAATAGATTTCAGTGTTTTTACCCCCCTCTTGAAAAATAACTTATAATATTTAGATAAAAATAAAAATGTATATCAATTAAATGGGAAAAAAGTTGGATTATTAAAAGATATATATTGTGTTTAATCAGGGGTCAGTTTGAAAATTTGAGCTGTCAATTAAGATTGTGAGCAGTTTAAAATGTTCAGTTAAATATTACACTGTTAGACGTATTGCTAAAATGTTATCATCACATTTTTGTGGTTATTGTAAGCACTTTATCCTTCTAGAGTTCACGGGGAACTACATATGCAGAGCAGCCTTGTGAGTAGCCAGTCATAACGCCTGTGAGACTGTCAGTTAGCACCATAACATATACATGATGATGCTTTTTTCATTGCAGCATTTTATTTTATTTTGCTTTATTTTATTTTTTTTTTATGCCACAAAGTCCCCTGACTTTGTATTAATGGTGTGCTGAGAAGGCAATTAGGACAGAAGTATTCCAAAGCATTTGTGGGGGAATTTGATATCATCAGTAATGTTCATACAGGCAAGGCCTCATTCTGACTTTCATGGGCCCCTTCCTTTGTAAAAAAAAATTAAATAAAAATTATATTTTATGGCTTTCTGCTATGAAGAGTATAACCCAGGTTAGGTTGATTACTGCATATTTATTATTGTTATTACCATGTTCTCTCTTTATATTAAAATAAATAAAATTAAACATCTTCGTAGGTTCCTAATATTGTTGTGGGCTCTAGGCACCAAACCTCCTGTGCCTATTGAATTAGTCATCCCTGCCTGCTAGGAACTCATGGCCCTAGGGATTGCAATCCATCTTTCTGCTGATTTTCCAGAGGACAGGTGTCTGGAAGACTACTCTGATCCCAAGAAGTGGTTCCTCTACTGTGACTTGAAAGAAGGCCCTTGGTCATTTGTAAGTCACCATAGCATTAAAAAAAGATTATGCTGATCTCTGCATCTTTGTCCAGTCTGTACACCATTTTCTCATATCACAAAACAGGAGAAAGGCCATGTCTGTGGTATTTGAGGCACAATGTGGTGGAATAGAACAGGATTTGGGAATCTGCCCTTGACCTAAGGCAGGTTATTTAATCTCTCTCCTCTGATCTATTACTTGGAATAGTTATTATGCCCAGCTCCTAGGATGTTGTGAGTTAATACAGTCTGAACATCTCAGTAGAGTACCTGGTACCTATTTTGTATCCAATGATTGATTGTTATACAATGATGTGTGTATATATGGGCTAACTTTAAAGCAACATTTAATATGCTTTAAAGTTAAATTCTAGGCCAAAAAATAATTTTCTGACACTATCCACTGAAGTATACTCTTATAGTCTCTTGTATTTTACCATCTTCTATTTTATAGGAATGATGTGCTTTAGCTCTTAATATTTTAAATACTTTAACATTGTTTAAAATTTTCATAATAGCTCTATGGATATTCCAAGAGCTAACCATTTGTCTACTGGCAGTGTTAATCAGTTAACCTCATTAAAATGCATACATAATAAGATTTAGTAGGTGATTTTTTTCTTTCCTCCATATTACTTTACTACATATCTTCCACAAATGAAACAAAAGTAACCATCAAAGATAGTTAGGACTAAAGTTATGTCCATATGTTAAAAATAATTGAATTTTGTTAAGGATCGTAGCAATTCTTTTTCTTAAACTATAAAATGAATGAAAACCAAATCATTTGTCTGCCTCATTGGCCAAACAGAACTGGAAAAGCCAGCGACACTGTTTGTCTGTTTCTTCAAGCATATTGCATTTCAGAGGCATAATAGTAAAATGATTCCATTTACTGTTTCCTTATTCTTACCACTGCCAATATTTTCTATGTGTTTCTAGGAATATTTAAGGTTATAGAAAGGAGGTCATTATCTGCGGTGAGTCACCATTTGCTTAATACTCCTGGGATTTGGAGATTGTAATAGGTAGAATTTTATTTTTTTATTTTTATTTATTTATTTATTTTTTGTCTTTTTTTTTTGGATACCGGCCGCACCATGCTCAGCCAGTGAGCGCACCAGCCATCCCTATAAAGGATCCGAACCCGCGGCGGGAGCACTGCTGCGCTCCCAGTGCTGCACTCTCCCGAGTGAGCCTCGGGCTCGGCCCTAATAGGTAGAATTTTAAAGACGGCTCTCCAAGATTCCTGCCTGCTAGTTATTCAGACATTCATCTAAGTACTCTCGTTAAAACATTTTGCAGATATAATTAAAGTCTCAAATCAGTTGACCTTAAAATATGACGGTTTTCCAGGTGGGCCTGACCCTATCAAGTGAGCACTTTGAATATGGAGAAATTTATCTGTACAGCAGCAGAAGAGGAAATCAGAGTGATCAGAATGACAGGTAGGATTTGACATGCCATTACTGGCTTTGAAAAAGGAAGGGATCATGTAATGAGGAATGTAGGAATCCTCTAGAAGATGAGCAGGCCCCTGGCTGACAGCCAGGAATTGGGGACCTAAATCCTACAACTACAAGGAACAAATTCTTCCAACAAACTAAATGAGTTTGGAAGTGGATTATTCACTATATCTCCAGGTAAGAGCCTAGCCAACAACATCTGGATTTCAGTCTTGTGAAATCCCAAGTACAGAACCCACATGAGTCTTGTGGAACTTCTGACTTAGAGAAACTGAGAAATACTACATGGGTGTTGTTTAAGCTGCTAATTTTCTGGCAAATTTTGTTAGGCAACAAGAGAAAGCTCATATAGATACACAACATTAGAATAAACTTATTTTAGTCTGGTTCACAATAATGTAATTATGAGAGTGTATCAAAAAAGTCAGAACAAAAACTCAATCAATTTTTAAATGTCACTGGTTTGTGAAACTTGGTGGTTGGATGGTTATTCTATTTTAAGCTTTTCAACTGTTGGAGTTTACAAATTCTGATTAAATGCATAATTAGTCTTCTTCCATAGGTCTCAAGCAAATTAATATATACTTTTTTGTTATTAAAGACTTATTGGGGTTTCTACTCCTCAATTAAAGTGGCAAAATCTTTATGCTTCTAAAGTGGGAACACATTAGAGCAATGCTCTTTGTTCCATTGTAGAAATTATGGATTTAGCTAGTGTCCACAAAAAATGGCCTATAACAAATGTGGACTAATGAGAAAAACTTTAGATCGTTTAGACATAGAAATATATTTGCCTGAAATATACAGTTAGAAATGTATAGATATTGTAATTACTAATTGTCTCTTTTTTTACTTTAAAATATTAATACAGGAATAGATTATGCAATGATATAAAAAAAAAATTTGATATGAAACCATCTCAGTGAGATTGTAGAGTCAGGCACTCTGTTGGTCAAAGCATAAGTGGGTATAACATTTTCAAAAAGCAATTTAGTAACGTTTATCAAAATTTGAAATAACATTTGGCCCAGAATTCTACTCCTGTTTGATATTAAACCATCTCAGTGAGATTGTAGAGTCAGGCACTCTGTTGGTCAAAGCATAAGTGGGTATAACATTTTCGAAAAGCAATTTAGTAACGTTTATCAAAATTTGAAATAACATTTGGCCCAGAATTCTACTCCTATAAATTTATCCACAGATGTACTGACATGTACACAAAGTTATGTTCAAGCAACAATATTCTTTGCGGTTTTGATTTAAATACAAGAAAGTGTTCATCCATGTAATGGACTGATATCTGGTTTTCAGAATCCATAGAGCTGTATGTGCTGATATGGAAATATCACCAAAAAATATTTTTGAATGAAAAAAGCAAGGTTCAGAATAGTGATTATCTTTTGTACTTAAAAATTCATGTTTACATGTATAGATATAGCATAATAGTGATATTTATACACATGTGGCACATGCACATATATATTTGTGTAAAAAAAGAGAAATTACTTATGTTCAAGTTCTTGTTTCTCATGGAAAACTTCATAAAGCTTTGCAAAAAAATTAATATTTCTAGGGGCTGGATCTTGTCTTGCCCCTGGAAGGGAACTCAGTTTTTGTTGTCTTTTGGTTTCTAACCAAGTGCCGGTATTATGATTATATGTTTTAGAAAGATCTACTCTTCTTAGAAGGTATTCCTTAACTTCTCCATAGTGTGGTAATCATCTTCTATATTTTCCATTTTCTGTATGTTTTTTTTTCCACAAGCACAGAAATACACCAAGTGACTAGTCAGTTTAGTAAAGGTCAAAATAAGTTGACATATCTTTAAGATGATAAAATGTTATCATTCAGAAACTGAAGGATAAGTGTATTATTACTGGATATGGTTATTTGCATATTGTGATTATAAGTATATTTCCGCTTAGGCCATTTTAATTTTTAAATATGTTTATTCTGCTCTTCATGCTCATTAATGAATTAGGGAGAAAATATGCTTTAGAAAAAGAAAAGACAGAAAAGTTTGATTAAACACATCTAAATCTTGGCAAAATACCTAAAGTGTTAACTTTATTTTTTTTAAATTTATTATATAGTTAATTTGAAATTATGTAGGATATGAACCCCTAAAACTTGCAAGTAATTTATAAGAATATCTGTAAAATGTTATCCATCACTTAGTTTTGCTCTTTCTGTACATCTCGTAGATTTATGCCTAACTCATCTGGTGTTTTCTTAAATTACTACATTTTCATTGTATTTTAACACTTTTAGTTGTATTTTATACAATTATATCATCTTTCACAACACAGCGTGAAAGTATCATGCTGAATTTTGTTTTCGAAGACAGCAGTAAGAATTGTTTTGTTGTAGTAGGCATCACAATGCTAATCATTATCTGAAATTAGACAAGACTCCCAATAGGCAAACGAGGTAGACACATGTATGCTTGAGGAGTTTTGCTGAGATTGATAGGGTTTCCATCCAATCGAATATCTTCCAGTGCCTTACGAATATAAGTCAAATTTTTAACATTGCAGAAGGTGTCTTCATGCATCTCCAGAATGTTGTTATTCTAAAAAAAAAATAAAAATAAATTACAGGACAAAATACAACATGTCCTTAGTATCGATTGATATTATAATTCATTTTACTTCAACCCCATATTTATTCTTTTGTTCCTTCCCTCATCAAAATTACATATTATGCGATTATTATATGCCAAGCAGTTTCTAATCAATGGGAATAAATCAATTAACAAAATAAGAAGCTTTTACTTTAGTAAGGGATATAAAAGATAAAGAAATGAGAAAACAAATTTAGAGAAAAAAAGTTATTTTGAAAAATGATGAATACTATGAAGAAAGGATGGTGACTGTGAAAAGTTATTTTAAGAGGTAGCAGTTGAGCTGAGAATGGACTGACCAGAAGACATAGGCATGAAAAGAACCAAGGGAAGGACATCCTAGCAGAGAGAACATCAAGTTCAAAGCCCTGAGGAATTAGCATGGAATGTTTCTCCCTGGACATTCAACATTCAAATGAACTTGGCTGAACTGAAGTGGAGGAGGGAGGAAGCAAATATCAGGAAGATAAGCAGGTCCCAGGACTGAAATTTTAAAAAAGAATGTTTCTCCCTGGACATTCAACATTCAAATGAACTTGGCTGAACTGAAATGGAGGAGGGAGGAAGCAAATATCAGGAAGATAAGCAGGTCCCAGGACTGAAATTTTAAAAACAGTTTTAATGAATATATTTCACATGCCATAAAATCCACTCACTTAAATTGCACAGTCCAGTGATCTTTAGCATATTCACAGAATTGTGTAACCATCACCATAATCTAGTTTTAGAGCATTTTCAACACCCCCAAAAGAAACCCTATGCACATTAGCAGTAACCCTCATTCCTGCCCTCCCACTCCCACCCCTGCCTGCCAACTCCTATCAAGTGATAATCTACTTTCTTGTTCTGGGTGTTCTACATAAATATAGTCATACAGTATAACTCTTCGTGACTGGGTTCTTTAGCTTTACATCATGTTTTTAAAGTTCATAAATGTGGTAGCATGTATCAGTACTTCATTCTTTTTATTGCCCAGTAGTATTTCATTGTATAGATATACCACATTTGTGTTTATCTATTCACCAGTTAATGGGGAACCAGGGCACCAGGAGCAATTTCTATACATAGGTACCTGGTTGACTATAGCTATGACTCTGCCACCCTGGGTCCAGTTCTGTGTTTATAAGGGAAAAAGTAAGGTCCTTGCTGTTCAAACAGTGCAGAAGTCAAAGCACAATCACAAAGAAATAAAAAGGCCCATATATCAAGGAGACCCGGATGAAGAACTTTTGACTCCACTATATCTCATCCCTTCAGGGATGCCTGGCCCCAGACAGCCCCCTAGCTTTAGTCCCTTCATCCCCACCAGCATTGCCACCAGAGAGTCCCGAGAGTCCTGAACTGCTGGGGAGGTGACTCCACTGTGCCCAAAAGGTATCAGCCCTTCAGATGCCCCTGTGGGAGACCTGAGGTACATAGCAAGTCAACCCAGATGTCAGTGTGAAGCCAGGGCATCACCTCTTCTACTACCAACCCTTCACAACCACAGATCTTTTGAATTGGAAACACCATACTCTGTCATATTTGGAGAAACCTTAGGCTGTCATTGAACTCTTGGAGTTGATTTTCCTCACCCATCAGCCCACCTGGGAAGACTGTCATCAGTTACTTCTCATTCTCTTCAATACTGAGGAATGGTGACACATCCTGACTGTAGCTAGGCAGTGGTTGCAACAGCAGGCACCCACAGCCACAATGGATCCCAAGACCTGGGCAAGAGATGCTGCTCCAGATGCAACAAGCTGGGACTTCAATGAAGAAGAAGGAAGAAATCAACTCCATCGATATAGAGAAGCCCTCCTCCAAGGGCTGAGAGCAAGGGCCAAGAAGCCCACCAATATGCCCAAAACAACAATTGTAACCCAGAACCTGGACTAACCACCTGCAGAATTCTATGACAGGTTATGTGAGGCCTTCCGAATCTACACAGCATTTGACCCCGAAACAGCCAAAAATCAATGGATGGTCAACACAGCCTTTGAGGCCCAGTCCTGTGTTGTCATTCATTGCAAGCTTCAAAAGTTGGAAGGTTTTGCTGGGATGAATGCCATGCAGCTCCTAGAGGTGGCCTACAAGGTATTTGTCAGAAGGAAGTGGATAAACACCTGAGACAGAAGGCGGCACTCTTGGCAGCAGCACTCAATCCAGACTGGAATTCTGCACTGAAGAAGATGAAGAACCACCACCAAGAAGGACAGGCACCCCTACAGACCAACCAGTGTGCTTTCTGCAGGGAGTTTGGCCACTGGAAAATTGAGTGCCCAAAAAGGGGGAAGAAACCCCAATCAATGTCCCAAGACAAGGCACACTCTGGAAAGAAAAAAATATGAGCCCAAACCATCGAGCCAGGAGTTCCAGAACTTCACTGGCCTTGTGGGGATAGACTCAGATTAGGAAAGACTGGGCTCTCTGTTTCTGGGCCCTCAGGAGCCCATGGTCAAAGGTGGCAGGGGGCCAACTTATGACTTTTATGGTGAACACTGGGGCAGAACATTCTGTAATCACCCACCTAGTGGCTCCATTCTCAGGTCAAAAGGCTACCATTGTTTGTACTACAGGG